TTCTTTTAGGCTCTCAGGTTTTTTTCTTTGTTGTTGTTTTGCTTTGTTTTGTTTTTGTCAATTATATCTCCAAGTTTACTCATTTGAATTTTTTGACAGTATATTTTGTCAAAAATTTTAATTTTTTTAAATAAAAAAAATAAGAATTTCTAATAACAAAATAAAATGAAAATCATATTAGTATAATTAGTAAAACAAAAACTATTCTAGATATTTTAAAAAAAGAGAAGTTAATACCAGGAATTGGTTACAAGGTTTTGGAAGGAGCAAAAGAGGGAAATTACCAGAAGATTAATAACTGCAGGAAGCCACTACTAACCCTGGAGCTGAAGAAGTAAAAAGAGAACATGGTGGTGTCACCCAGAGCTCAGAACATTGCACCTTTGAGGCCCCTGTATCCAGGAGCTTGCTCTTGCTGGCCACAGCTTCTGCCCGCTCTCATCTTGCAGAACACTCACAAACCAAGTTACTTGCAATCCAAGGTTTTACTGTGTGTGTGTGTATATATATATATATATATATATATACATATGTGTACATATATATATATACATATATATGTATATATATATGTGTGTGTATATATATATATATATATTCTAACCTCATTTGTTGAATGGTCTGTCATTTCTGGTATATGATCTTTGTATTCTTTCCTATCCTCATGGTCATAAGATGACTGCAAAAAATTCTAGGCATCACATCTAGAATGATATGCAGTAGAGACCATCTCTTTATAGAAGTATCCAGGAAACTTATCTTCACTTCTTGTTACCTATACTACCTATATGCTTACGGCCTAAACCACTCATGGAAAGGATAATGGGACCACCATGATTCATTTATTCATTTAACAAGAAAATGGTGTGTTTTCTATATGGATTCTAGGGACTGGGACTACTGTAGCAAACAGGACAGTCAAAAGTGTTGCCTGTTCTCGCGGAGCAAACAATTTACTTAGGAAGACTATTCTCTATTTTCAAAATAAATAAGTAACATTTATAATATGTTGTTGCCCAGTAGTAAGTGCTAGAAGGAAAAAAAAATGGAAAAGGGGCTATGAAGTATTGTTAGTAGGCTGACGTTTTAGTGAGCATAGTTAGGAAAGGTCTCACTGAGTTGACTTTTCAATGAAGACCTGAAGAAAGTGGTAGAGTAGGCCATATGGATACCAAACTGAAGAGTGGTTCAGACAGAAGCAAAAATACAAAGGTCTTGAGTACAGCAAGAAGACTACAGTGGTTGGAGAGAGTAATAGGAAATGGTGGGTGAGGGAGGGTACAGAACATTTAAATCATTGTAGGGAAGTCATTCTCAACCAGTGGCAATTTTGGCAAAATTTACAAATTTTGGTAATGTTGGGGACAAATTTGGTTGTCATAACTTGCAGGGGAGAGTATGCTGGGGGGACCCAAGGTGCTGCTAAATAACCCAGAATGCACAGGAGAGTTTACCTTTTGACTATCCTCTTTCTCAGCATAGGATTATCTGACACTAAAAGTCAATATTGTCAAGGTTGAAAAAACGCTGTTTTAGGTCATAGTGAGGACTGGTTCGTAGTGAGTGAATTAGAATGACACTGAAGTGTTTTGAGTAGAAGAATAATTTGATTGAAGCTTTTAAAAAGGTCATGTGGCTGTTTGTTGTGAATAGACTGAAGGGTTGGAAATAGGATAGCATTAAGGAGGGCACTACAATTATCTAGGGAAGAAATGATGGTTTGGACCAGGATGATAGCAGGAGGGGTGGTGAGAAGTGAAGGATTCTGCATACTGGGGGTGCCAAAAAATGTATACACATCTTAAAAGATGTTAGCTATGCTCAAGCAGTAGTTCGCTGTAATCAGAAGTGTCTGGATGCTGATAGTAACCACTTTGAGCACCTCTTGAAATTGCACAAGTCAAATGTGACTTGTATTTATCTCGTATCAGTATATATTGCGTATTACAACGAATACAGTTTTTTCCTTTCTTAAAATGCCTATACATTTTTTTGGCACCCTCTGTATTTTGAAAATTGAGATAACAGTGTAAGAGTGAAACTCGGTGAATCAATAACATAGTTAGACTTAGCTAGCATGCAGTTTGATCCACCCTGATAGTCACCTGTTTTCTCTTTGTTTCTCCCTTCATTGATTTAAGAACTCTGTTTTGTTTCCTTTCTTAAGGCTACACTTATCTCATGAATTCATTTAATCAGCAGAATCCTACCCTGAAAAGAGCAATTTCTTAATCCTCAGGTACCTGGACACCCAGAATCCATTTTGCAACTCCCTTGCGTTTTTACTGGGGCTGCATAAAGCCGCAGGCTGCGTGGCCAAGTCCAGAGATCACATTATCCTAAAACAGACCAGACCCCAGGAAGCGATGTCAGCCATTGGACCTGCCCGACCATAATAAAACTTTCTGACCATTCTAGGAATGGAAAGATGACCTTTGGATAGGAGTCCGCATTCCCCTGGAATGCCGGCGTTCTGAATCAACTTGCTCTTCTTTCCACCAACCTTGTCTCTCGATTTTTTATTTTTTCAAGGGACAGGTAGCCGGACCTTAGCACAGTAACAACAAGACTTAGTAACAATGTTTGTTTCCTCCTAAAGTTCCTGTTGAAACTAATCCCCAGTGTGGTGGTATTTGGAGGTAGGCCTTTGGGTGGTGATTAGGGCATGGACTTCCCAGCCTTCAGAACTGTGAGAAACACATTTTTCTTGTTTATGAGCCACCTAGTCTATGGTATGCTGTTATAGCAGCCTGAAAGGACCTTGACACTGAAACGCAAGGATATAGGTGTGAGAGAGGAGCCATGTCTGACCCCTCCAGAGTAATCTGTTATGGCTGGTGCTGGAGCTGCGTCTTCCCAAAGAATGTAACCTGGAAGAGTGGGCAGAAACCTGAACACATTTGGAATGGGAAAAAGAATGCCCATGTGATGTTTGAATAGGCAGTCAATAGCATCTGTTACTGGGCCGGCCGAGTGGCTCAGTTGGTTAAGAGTTGGCTTAAGAGCATGAGCTCTGAGCAACAGGGCCGCTGGTTCGATTCCCACATGGGCTAGTGATGCTGTGCCCGAGCTGAGCTGCCAACAGGTGGCAGGATGGCTCAGCTGGTGTAACAACAAGATTGCCTGTTCGATGGTGGGCTATGCCCATCTGCAACTAAGACTGAACTAGGCACCTTGAGCTGAACTGCCACCCAGATGGCTCAGTGGATAGGGCATGTGCTCTTAACAACAAGGCTGCTGGTTTGATTCCCGTATGGGATGGTGGCTACGCCTACCTGCAACTAAGATTGAACACAGAACCTTGAGTTTAGAGGCCACGAGCTGCCAACAGGAAGCCAGGCGGCGACTGGCGCCCTCCACAATGAAGATTGAAGAACAACAACTTGGCTGGTCCCTCTCCCCAATTCCCTAACACTGTTCCCCTTCCCCCAATCCCCCAATAAAATCTTTTAAAAAAATAGCATCTGTTACTTCTATACCTTTTGGAAATAAGAATGGACATTATTGGATTTGTGAATGACTACCTCAAAGGGTACAATTATTCTACATACAGACTGTTGAGTTTGTTTATACCTGCAGCCCCAAGTGCTTTTTAAGAAATGTCTTCTCATGCCATTTAGTGACAGTCTGATAGATGTAGGAAGCCCTAAAACCTCATTCCATTAAAGGCATTAAAGGACTTTGATTTTTCTTTCAGTATTTGCATCCCAAGCAATTACTGACTTCCTACACAGGAAGTTGGCGTATTGTTTAATAATTGATATCTGAGTATTTCTTTTGTTCACCCTAAAATATTATAAGCTCCTTATGAGTCCTTATTATGTGTTAGAAAACTATTTTTCTCTGTTACCTTAATAATTTTATAACTAATAACCTGATAAAGATCCTCTCCTTGACCAAACTCTACTTAGGCTTCCCTGAAAAGTTTTTTCAATGAGGCTTTGACTTTTGGACTTCCATCTTCTCTCTACGCTGTCCACTTTTAGCAAGCGTCTTGCTAAGTAAGTTTAGCCTGAATCCCGTATCCTCCATAACTGATCACTCCCATCTCTAGTGGAGTTCCTCATCTTCCACCATCCTACAGGTGATGTCTCATAACCTGGATCATCTCCAGCAAGAATCCTGTCCGTTTAGCCAGCATCCTCCCCTTCCTCCTGCTTTCTCTTAGTAATTTTCCATCCACTCACTCCCACCTGGCTATTCATCCCCACTTGTCTTGATTGTAGCTGGAATTAGTAGCGTAGCTTTCTCCTATTTCAATCGTTTTGAATCAAGTCTTCATTAACCATAAGTGCCAGCATAAAAATTTTTCTTTAACAAACCTCATAACCTAAGTTAACTAGGGTTCATTCCATTTCACAGACAACAAAGTTGAAATGTTGCATAGGAATGGCGTTTAATCTGTATCATCCAACTAGTAAATAGGTCTTGAGCCAACAACATGCGTCTGAGAACTTAAACGCTGTTGGAGGCGCTCCTACTTGGAGCAGGCGTTTCGCTCCGGAGGGCCTCGCTGGTACGGTGCGATCGCAATCTGGTGAGGGCTCTCTCTGCAAGTAGGGGCTTGCCTACTGAGTTGGAAGCTCCAGGTACTGAGGTCGTGGTACCAGAGCCCTAAAATTCCTCCCACACAACCGTCCACCCAGGCTGTTTGCCACGAAACCGCCCGATGACTCATCCTCTAGACTCTGGTGGGCGAGGGTCGATGGCGAGAATAAAGCTCTTACTCTCGATGTAGACCCGCGGCGCCCGCTTTCCCTCGGCGTCTCCGCAGCCAGGCCAGGCTGCCGCTGCTGCAAGGAAGGCGCCGGGCTCCGCGGGCCGCAGGGCCGGCGTCTCCGCCCGGAACAAGGCGGTGCCGGCGCGCCCGGCGTAGCCGCCCAGCTGCGGAGACGATACCAGTTTTGGTCTCTTCCGAAGGCCGGCGCCGGTGCAGGGCCCGCCTCCCCGCGGGATTGGAGGCCCGCGGCCCCGCCCGGCCCCGACAGGCGGGCTGGCAGCGTCGCGCGCGGGCTGCGGGCCGGGACGCTGAGGGCCTGGTCGGCCGCCTCTCGCGCCCGGGTGTAAGGGTTTCGGCCGAGACCCGGCATCAGCGTGCCCTGCTCTCCGCTGGTCCGGCCCGTGCTGCGCGCCAGGCCCGGGGAGGAGCTGCCGTCGGACTGAGACGCCGGCCCGAGAGGGGTCGCCGCTTCCGTGGTTGGTTCCTTACTTTTCCTCACTCCGAGCGAGAACCCGGCGCCCCCTTCACCTCGCGAGGAGCTAGGCGGGGAAGCGGGCGGGATTCTCCTTGGCCGGCGCCGAGAGCTCGGGGCGGGAAGCTGGTCCCCAGGCGCCGGCGGGCTTCGCGGTGGTGCGGACGCGGCTGCCCTCGCGTCCCGAAGCCGCCGAGTTGGCGGCGAGCCGGCCGATGGGCCGCGCTGCCCCCGCGCCTGCGCCCGCCTTCCGGGGCCGTTGCCGTGGCGGCCGCAAGCCCGGTCCTGTCTGTGTGCAGGCCTCTGGGTACCAGCGTGTCCCCGGAAACGCGTGCTGAGCGCTTCTCACCGTAGCCCTAGGAAGACACCCAGAAGCACAAGGGACACCCGTGTTGGGGACTGGCTTGAGGGGAGGCTGTTGCTTCCCTTTGGGGAAATCCGAGCCCAGGATGTGCATTTTATAATATGTCAGAGCCACTTTTCAGGTCTCAAGTTCTGATGCCGCAAACTGTTTATCCTCTTGGTAGTTATTTAGAATGTATGCCCTATGGAAAAGTTGTTCTCGGAGACTTCAGGTTTTAAATCAGCAGCTATGTATTGGACACCCCTATATATAAAGTACTGGTCGGGGAGGAACCCCGCACAAAACCTGCTTTAGGCTTAGTTCACCATCTCACTTCCCAGCTTCTCTGTTCGCGTTGGGAGGAAGCTAGGTGAAGATTGTTAAAGCTTTCAGCTGTGTTCCTTTGCTCTTCCTGGGACTCTGCAGCTAGGTAAATGATAGCAGGGCATTGGGTTACAGTAAGGGAAGGAGGGACACCTATTCAGAGGCACACAGACTTTTCTCATTCTGAAGATGGGAAGACAATACAATGAAAACTTGCAACTTGCATTCAGAAGCACTCACTAGTTTTTAAAAATTCTTTGGAAATAGAGGACTGCAGTTACCTTCACTTATAAATTAGTTTCAGGCATCTATGCTGTTATTTTCCCTTCTGAGAAATTTCCTCTTCCTCCAGCTCCAAATCTCTTAATTGTGAAAGCCACTAACCTGTATACAATTATAATTGATTGATTAAAGTTTTGTGACTATACTATGGAGCCTGTGCTTTTGTTGTTGGCAGTAACACATTAATCTCTCAGGCAGGGCTGTTTTTACTTTGGTGAGAGTGGGGAAGGGGCAGGGTATAGAGAAAAAGGAGGAAGCGGAAAGAGGGGTGTAAAAGCCTGAAACTACCCAGTGGCCTAGTGCTCTGCTACATTATAAACCCATGAAAATCCCCTGTTCGTTTAACAAATACTCCGTGTCAATTGCTGTGTTTGGCGATGGTGTACACTGTTACCACCTTCCGTATTTTCCCAATCTAAAGCTCTGCTCTTTCAAAGTGACTCAAGACCTTCTTATCTTTAACACTTAGCATTCTCAGTGAAAGGAGCATATAAAATTTATTTCCTCTTTGTTACTGGAAATTAACTCATAAGGTATATTCTGCACGGTTCATAGGTATTATAGACCCCCTAAGTGAATTTTGGAAATGTTGAATGAAGTGAAGTTTAACAGGTTTGTTTTTTCATATCAGCAACCTCTTAGATTTCAATATTGCATGTGAATCCGCAAGTTGAATATAGTGTGCGGACTTTTACCAAGTGATTCCAGAATCCTAATTTCTAGGAACCTGGGAAAGTGACCCATAAAAGACATTTTCAGAAATGTATTTTAACTACTTCTTTTGTTGCTGCGGTTTTATTTTTAATCACTTATCTCACCCCCTCTGTTAGCAGAAGTGATGCCACCAAGAAGAAATGAGAAATACAAACTTCCTGTTCCACTTCCAGAAGGCAAGGTCCTGGATGATATGGAAGGAAACCAGTGGGTTCTGGGCAAGATGATTGGCTCTGGAGGGTTTGGATTGATATATTTAGGTAAAGTATAACTATAAATTACCAAATATTTTGTATATGTGTGACGGTAACTGTGATTGCTTAGTATTATTTTGAAATTGAAACTTTACAATGAAATAGAATAAATGTATTTTATTAAGTAATATGACAATAGTTAATGTTTAGTAGCATGCCTAGTGTCAAGGCATGACAATCCCCACTCCTTGTTGTCCACGTTTTTCTTAATGACCCTTTGAAGTCTTTTCAGAGCATAATTACACAGCCTGCCAAACAAAATGTGAATGTTCTTTTTTTGAGAGTGTGTTTTCCTCGAAACATTGCTTTTTACACCTCAGAAACCACAACTGTATAAATACAAACACTTTCCATGTGTAAATCTTAATCATTAATATTTAAGTAATACAAGGCTCTAGTCATTTTTTAATTAGGCCCCACTATAGAATTGAACCTTAATCCCTCAAGGCATCTATAACATGAACGAATCAACTTCTTTCCTATACACCTAGAGTGGTACTAGTTATTTGCCATCTTTGCAATAATACATACTGTAAATGTATTTTCCTTATGATTTTCTTGATAACATTTTCTTTTCTCTATTATAAGAGTACAGCATATAATACATATAACATATAAATACATGTTAATTGACTGTGTATGTTGTTGGTAAGGCTTTCGGTCAACAGGCTGTTAGTAGGTAAGTTTTTGGGAGTCAAAAGTTATATGCAGATTTTCAACTGCACAGGGGTATAGTCATCCCTAACCCCCTGGCTGTTAAAGGGTCAACTATAATTCTTATGCCAAAGAGGCATATTTAAGGTAGCATTAGCCTCCATCCTTCAGAAACAAACATATTTCATGGATCGTGAAGGGTAAAACTCCTCTCCTAATAAAATTAAGGTTGTAGTTTTGAACAAATGAATGAAATTCAGTCAATAAGTTATTAATCACCTCAGTGTCTAAACTAGTTGGAAAGGTAAGACCAACACAAAAAAATTGGGACAGAATAAAGTTTTCCCCATTTAAAAGATTTGAACTTGTTGGAAAAATACTATGATTCAAGTACTAGATTGAGTGACATAGGCAGCACTGCTCAATAGTTATAGAGTTATAGTGGCGTTAGCAAGCCACATACATAACTTAAAATTTTCTAGGACTGACATTAAAAAAAAGTAAAAAGAAACAGGTGAAATTTATTTCAGTGATATATGTTATTTAATCCAGTGTATCTAAAATACTATTATTCCCACGCTATCAATATTTAAAAAATATTTTACTTTTTTAGTTAAAGTCTCTTTAAAGTCCAGGATGTATCTAGTCACATTTCAAGGGCCCAATAGCTACATACAGTTAGTGGCTACCATATTAGATGGTGCAGGTAAAGACCATGAGAGTATTTGGAGTCCACAGAGAATAGAATTCCCTGTAGAATGAGTGTTGGTTGAGACATTGAATTAGTGAATTCTCTTGTATAGTAAAGAGTTAAGATCTCTACTTCTTGACTCAAGGTCAGAGATATGGAGTTGAATAAATTATTTCCGATGTGGCTGAGTTATAGCCTTGGATCCCACGGCTTATCAGATGTAGTTTTAGTTTTCTAATGTTTGAGTTATTTGAGTAACTTCGAAGAACTACACAAAAGCATTGATTATAATGGTCTTATTACCTTTTTTAAAATGTAAATATATTTGAGGATATGTATTTAAATTTAAGTGCATGTTTAAAATTAAATATGCCTATACATATATACATATGTATACCTGTACATATATGTGTACACATACTCACTATTGTGTGGTTCCTGTTGTGAAAGAGGGATTTATTTGCTTAGGTATGTGATTTATTTGTCCCTATTCAAATACAGAAAAACCTTTTCCTCTTTCAGTTTAAGTACGTGTCACATATTTTATACTTATTTTTTCTCATTATCAAAACAGTATTTGTTTTACAGTAGTTTTCAAGGTTCCATATGTATGCGATACTCCCTACTATCTGACATTTAGAACCTGGACCCTGGGTATTAGCAAGTGAACATCATTAGGGAAAGACCTTAAAAAAATGTTTGGCTATTTTGAGGAAGAGGCAGCATACTTTAAGATATGTAATAAAACTGTATGTTCCAAATGTTGTCATTGTTCCATCAAAGGTTGCAATCATAAATCATAGAATTAGTTCTTTAGTGAGATAGCATCAGCAATAACTTCCTGAAACTTAGTTTTTATTATTTCAAAGCTATCTAAGCAAATCCATGTGAAATTATATCATGGTTTTTGCATTTTACCTTGTTTCGTATCACTTTTGATATTAATGAAGAAGCAGGTAAGTTTAAGTTTTCCTTAATACCTTTGCCCAGCTACAATTTTTTCAGGTATTATTCTTTCCAGATACACTGTTTCTTCCGCATTTCTTGCCTAAGGCTGAGGAGGAACTATCCTCTATGTCCAACCCATTGTGCCTGTATTACTCTCCTCTAGCTTTGAGATCAATAGCCAAGGCCTTTCAGTAAGCAGCAACTTATAGTAAAGGGCAAAGGGCAGAGAAGTTTGGCATTTACTCTTGACTTGGAGAAATAATGTGCCTGTAGCATTAATAGAAATAGTTATAAGAAAGAAAAATTTGAATGCAAAAACAAAGTCAAGGTTCTTTTATATATGAAAAGGGTGGGGGTGGGAGAAAGGAACCTGGTTTAGGGGATGGGGAAATCGCTGTCATTTTAATATAAGTGAAAAAGTTTCTAAAACTCCAGTGAAAGACAGAGAACTTAGAGTTTGAATTCTATTCTCATAAAATCGCATAAATGAGAGCATTGGTTTTAGTATTAGGCAAATCTGGGTTGAATTCAAACCTGACTCAGCAACCACTTAAGAACTGTGTGACTCAGATAATAATAATTGCGAGGATTAAATGAGATTTTTTTTTTTTAAGATTTTTATTGGGGAATTGGGGGATGGGAACAGCACTGGGGAATTGGGGGGAGGGGAACAGACAAGTTGCTGTCCTTTTGTTCTTCAGTCTAGTTGTGGAGGATGTTGCTTCACTGCCCCAAGTTGGCACCATCATTGCACTCTTCCCGGGCAAGGCAGATCAGTTGCTGGCTTCTGGACGGCCGCTCACGGCAGCTGCTGGCCGCTCATGCTGGCTGCTGGCTACACACGGTAGCCCATGGCAACCCACTGCCACAGGGGCTGCAGCCCACGCCTTCGTCCACGACTCACAGCAGCCCAGCTCCAGGTTGAGCTGTTGTTCAGCATCTTAGCTGTGGAGGGCAGTGTCACTGGCCCTTATATGTGGGATCTGAACCAGGGCCCTCTGGCATCCCAAGCCAACTCTTAACCAATGCACCACTCGGCCGGCACGAGATAATGTTTTTAAAGAACTGGGAGCTTGGTAAGCACTGAAATGTAATTTATTTATTTAGAATTTCCCACCCTCAGTGATAATTGAACTGTAGGTTCAGTGTCTGGTGCCACAGGGGATTAGAGTGGTGACAGAGACATCTGTTGGAGGAATTCCCCGTCTATCCTGCCAAGGACAGTGATAGATTCAGCTACTAATATGGTAAAGCTAAGAACATAGAGAATATCAATGGAAGACTATCACGTTTTACTACTTTCTGACCCATATCTATTTCCCCCTCTAAAATTTACAACAGTATCCATGATAACATAGTGAAAAGTTCTCATTTAAGCTGTTATCTGCTTTACATATGAAACATATCAGGTTTCAGAAATTAGTGAAAAATGAGGAAAACCAGAATCATAGGCAATAAATTCAGCCAGATTCCTTTGCAGGCTTATTATTTGAGTAAAAATAGAAATGATTTTTCTGTAGAAGTTTTAGTTTTCTGAAGTTGAGCATAGTGGTGACTATTCAGCATCTTTAGAAAATCAAGCACCGAGTAGATGTTCAACAGTTATTTGCCTCAGAGATTGAGACTGAGGTTGGGATACTTAACCTATACAAGCCAGTTTGCTTTATTCTTTTCCATAATTATAGATGTCACCTTGAATTCCAGCCTATAATCTTACAGATGTACTCTGTAAGATTTTCACAAGAAAAGCCTCTATGTATGCTTTATTGACAGTAAATAGCATTATCTTTTATGAAGAATAATACATCATTATAATTAATATTAACTCTGGTGAATTCTTAATACTAAATCATGAATTCATGGACTGTCATATCTAAGTGACTGTCATACATATTTTTGGTCATGCTCTCAGATTAGCTCAATTTTGCTATTTAGAAACATAAAAGGAATTTTTTTGGGATGGGAAGAGGGTAGGAATACTAGGATTTTAGAAATTATCAAAGTTTATCTCACTTATTTTATTGTTAAGGAAACAGCTATCTATTGATGAAGAAATAGATAAGATTATTTATGCATGTGTGGTCTTTATTTATTTTACTTTTTAGTCAGCTGTAATGGATTGATTGTTAAGGTATGCAGAATAATGTTCAGAAGAGCCTAATGATAATGCTGACAACCAAGTGGAGTTATTGGAACACATGTTGTTTTATTATACATTGCAGTATTAAATATTATTTTGGCAGTGTTTATAGAGAAGGCTTTGAGATAAGCAGTTCTATCTGACACAGTGCAACAGTATGGTGCTGCTATAGTTGTTACTAGGAAATTTTGCAAATCATGCTGTGGGGGTGAAACGAAGAAGGAAATAAATGTGAAATAAGGATAACTTGTACGAGAAGTTATAATATATGTGATAAATTAGTTCCCAGAGGAAGATGTAGACAGATAGATGTAGAAGAGAGATACATAATTGGTGATATAAACTCAAAGGAGGAAAGGATCACTTGGATTTTGTGAATTTAATACACTGTTGGACCCACACACGAGAAATAAGAGTACCTAGGAGATGTATTTTAATTTTGTATGTGCTGTCCATAAGCTATTAATTTTGAGTTTTAAAAGAGAGCAATGTTTGTTTACCTATCAGTTAAGAAATCAAAGTATTTACAAAGGTTTGGGTTTTTTCTATAAAAAGGGAGAGCTCTTCTAAGGC